AAAGTATCCTTAATTTTTAATTAATATCTTTAACTTGAAGTTTTATTTAATTTATTTGTTCCTTTTAATTTTGACAAAGAAAATAAAAAAATAGGTTCAATAATTTTAAATTTATTGACTAATTTTTATTATATCTTTTTATCTCTCTTATTTATTTACTTATTTTTTATTATTATTATTATTTATTTGTCCAAAACAGTTATGCAAACCAATGAATCCAACAATGTTATTAAAAACATGAAGTAATTATTTTTTATTTATTAATTCTCTTTGATTTTTAGGTTACTCAACTAGTCTAAATTAATATTTTATTTATTGTTCTTAAAAATATTCTACGTAGACAAAAGAATATTAATAAAAAATAATAATTTATATTATCTTAAACTTGTATAGCAATAAAATGCATGAAATTATTTTATCTTTTAAATAAAAACAAATGTAGCACTTCCTCTAATTTTTATTTATTTTATGTTTAAAGTTTTATACAAGAAATAAGAAAAATATTAGTATTCTAAATTTTATCAAAATTTAATTACAATTTATATACCCAGAAGAGTAGAAAAACAATAATAGATTCAAATTCAGACCTATATTATGAAGAATTTTAATTATATAGTTTCATCCAAGTCTATTATAAGTTTTTTTTTTAATTTAGCTTAATTATCATATAATTAGCTCCTTTTCTTAGATTTTGAAAGGAATGAGCAAGTTCTTGCAGAATAAGGACATTATCAATATTCTATCTTCTAAAAATCAAACTAGATTGATTAACAAAAATTAAGTGAGAAGAGATTCTTAAGTCTATTAGTAAAGAGTTTAGTTACAATTTTATAATTTACATTATACAACCTAAAGTTTTTAATTACCTCATGGCTCTCAATTTTAGGGATAAGAGTGATTGTTGTATCATTAACATTAGAGATTCTTCTAAGTCATGGAAAATATCAAGAACAAATTTATATATAATAGAAGATAAAAAAAATCATTAATTTTTAAAAAAAAGGCATGATTCCTATTAGGGACAAGGAATTAAAATTCTCAATATTAAATAAAGAGACCTCAACCTCTTCAATAGAAGGGACAACAGAGAACCTTTTAATATCAAAATCTCCAAGTATGGGGAAGGAGGTGTAGATTAACAAACTAGAGTCATTAGGGAAAGGATTATGGTAAATGTTCTTAAAAATAATTAAGGGCCATAAGTTTAAGCTTAGAAAGATTGTATTTCCTAAACACCTACCTTATCTTCAAGGGCATCAATGGTATTTTTTTTAATGAAAAATAGCAGCTTTATAGGAAAAAAAAAACTAGTAATTCTATCTCTTAGCCTAATCCACATAAATCTATAATAATGTTACCAATAAAACTCTTTTTAGTCCAAGATCTGATTATACTCTCCCTAAAAAGATTTCATCATATTATTAAAGAAGAAATTTTCACTAAGAGCAAATTTCTTAAAAATTCCTTCAATTTTACTAACTAATTTTTTTTTGTTAAAAATATTGTTAAAGGTAGATTTGTTCCACTCAGATATATTATCTTAAAATTTGTTTATATTTTTAGTTCAAGAACTATATATAAATAAAAAAGTTTTACCTAATTAGGAAGATCAGGATGAGAGATAAGGAATGCAAAAGGTTTCTTAGAAGAAGACAAACTATCCTTAAGACTAATTTTAAGTCATTGTTCCATATGACAATATGAATGATATTATTATTCTGGAGGAAAGATGCTAAACTTCATTAGCCACTACTTTGTAAATCTTTTTTTTTTTAGGTTATCTTTCTGACAAGTAAATGAGTATTTCTTAAACTCCAAGTCATGAAGACCATAATACTTAATAATATTATTATTCGTTTAAAATTTTTATGATGATAAATTTTATTACACTATTAATTAAATTGATATTTATTTTAAAAAAATTAAAATTTATTGAATGGTGTTTTGTTTTAATTTAATTATAAAATTACAAATAAATTATTTTATTATAGATTTTAGTATATTTTAAATTAAAACTTATTTTTTTATATAAAAACATAAAATTGATAAAATAAACAAATATGGGACACAAAATATAAATTAATCTAAAACTAATAAACTTATGAATACATTAAAATAATATATACCTTTAAAAATAACAATAAAATGTAAATATTAACATAAAATCATAAAAATTAATTAAGTATTATAATTTTATAAATATATAATTATATAAACATGAGAGAGAAGTTAATTTTACTAGTAAAAATTACATGTACTTACATAATTTAGTTTGAAATGGATCAAGTTTTAATATTGGATCCTAAATTCAATCAAGTCCACTAAATAATTTGTTGTTTACAGTCTTGATTGGGTTAATTTAGTCTTGATTCATTCAAATAACATAAGTTAGATTGGTTTAAAAGTACCTTTAAAGCAGAGTCTTTTTACTTTTCAGTATTTATTCCCCAATTTGTGGTTATGTATGTAAAATAATTACTCTTCTATTTTAAGCAAACAATATGATTGATAAAAAAAGAAAAAAGAAAAAAAAACTTATTAGCATTCTTTTCTTTTTGTTTTTAACTTGTAATTTTTTTTGGTAGGTTTGCGCTAGTATCACTAACTTAACTTAATTTTTTAAAATAATTATTTTGAAATATATTATATGAATATTTTTAAATTCAATAGTAAAATAAATAATACATAATTTAAAAAATATTTAATATGATAAAAATAAAATACTCCTAAAAGCACCCGCGATAAAAAAAAATAGTATTTATAATTTATATATAAAGGTTGATGTTTTAAAAAGAATTATAAATAAGTGAAAGAAATTCTTCCATTACAAATTAATTAATAATTATATTTTTTATTCAAATAATAAAAATTATTGTTAGATTTTTTTCAATTATTTTTTTGCGTGATTTTTATTCAATTGTTTGTTATCATATGCTTTTGAAAAGTCTGACTATCATAGGAATTATTTAAAATATCAAAATCCCATGATGCAATAAAAGTCTTTAATCTTATTTAATATTGATTTTAGACTTATCAGGGCCAACAATGACAAGGTTTCAAGATTGCGGATAATCAAGATGTGATAGATTTTTAGAATTGATGCAACATAACAAATTTATAATTTATACCTTTCTTGGAAAGAAAAATGGTACTTTAAAGAATATGAATTAAAATTTTGATTCTTACATGTGATATTAATTTGAAAATTGGGCCCTATATAGAAATATTTTTATATTAGTTATGTAAAATCATTTTCAATTTACTCTTGAAACATCAATAGGTTGTGACAACGCTTTGTCCACTCGTCCTTAAGAGTTGCGACGTGACGATAGTTTTGACTAGATTGTGTTCATGTTTTCAATTCTATGTGCAATATTTTATTTCAATATTAAAATTATTGATTTTGTGAACTTCAATTGATTGGATTTAAACACATAAAAACAATAATTCTTATTAAAAAATGTTTATTATACTTTTGTATGTTTAGCATAATAATAATTATTTTATAAAAATGATTAATGTTATATGTTTAAATTCAATTTTAATGAATTAAAAGGGTTGTCGAAGTAGAGTAAGGTTTGATTGTGTTTATATATGTGTGATCCATCTGAAAAATAAAATAAAATTTAAAGATTAAGATTAAAATAACCGAAAATTTATTCAAATTAATGTTTATACGTTAAATTGTTTTCAACTCACTCGATGATTATTAATCGAAGACATAAATCGTGTTATTATGTTAGTTGTTGGTGGCCTGTTGGCAGCTCAGCTGATACTAACTTTCTCTCAACTCTCTCTGCCTTGGCCTCATCTTAAAAGCGTGAATTTATAATGACTTTACATACTTGTGTGAAGACCAAATACAGAAAGAACATTGCAAATGCAAATACAAAACAAAATTAACTTAATTTAACTTAGTAATTCAGACAATTGTCGGCGTATCATCTTAATCTCTTAGCCATGGAAAAGTATATCACTATGTTTCATCATTGTGTTGAAAATTCTTTAGTTTCTTTTTAAGTTATAAATAATTTATATATTTTATCTAACTCTTTTTATTCCCATTGTTTATGTCCAGGCAAGCCAATTCTAAAACAGATAAATTTTATCTGCTCTTTAATTAAAATTAAGAGTTTTATTTTAGTAATTTGTATTGTTTTAAATGTTAATAGTTATTAAAAAGATTACTTTTAGAAAAATTTCTATAACTTGTTTATATATAATTAAAGGGAATTCTTAAAAAGTATTTATACATCAAATGGATACAGTTTACATTAAAAAGAGAAATAAGGCAAAAAAAAAAAAAATACAATTATAAAAATTGTTATATAAATAATACAACTAAAAAAAAAAAATACTCGCTGTATTAAACGCAGATTAGATAAAATCATAACGGTGAAACGGGTGTGCCAGTGCCAGGACTCTAATCTAACCTTTACTTGGGGCTTACTCTACGTGGAGTTCGAGATTATTTCCATTATTAATGGTCTAAATTACAGGGAAACAAAACACTCTTTGAAAATCTAGAAAAAAAAAAAACAGCTATTAATTAATGTTCTTATTATTTTAAGATATGTATTTAAAATAAAAAGAATTATATATAATACTACATGAAATATTAATTTATAATAAATAAAATCAAATAGCAAAAAAAACGCGCACCTGAATCCGATAGCAGTCGCTCTCTCCCTAAATACCACACTGAAAACAGGACACAAACGTTACTGCAACATGGACCACAACCTGTCGCCAGCCTGTAATCCCCTTCCCCCTCTTTCAATGCACGCATAAATATTTATTTATTTATTTATTTTTTGAGAATGTTTCAAAATAAAATAAATATCCGACGTGGCAATAACGAGGATTGCTAGCTCTTTCCCAAGACTCTTTCCTATCCTATATATATTCACTACACCGTGTTTCTCATTTCTCCAACTAAGAGTACCTCATACATGGCTAGCTCCCCATTTAAGACCAATTCGAAACACTGAGTTATTCACATGGGCAATTGCAGTTGCATCTCGTTCCAAACGACCCAGGTAGCAACGGCCAAGGTCGTCGTTCACGACGGAAGACTACAGGAATTCTCCTACCCGGTTAAGGTGTCGTATCTTCTGCAGCTGTACCCCGCATGCTTTATATGCGACTCTGACGAGATGGCCTTCGACGACGTCGTTACTGCGGTTGACGAGGACGAGGAGTTGCGTCCCGGCCAGCTCTATTTTGCTCTTCCGTTGAACCAGTTGAAGCGCCACTTGCCGCCGCAAGAGATGGCGGCGTTGGCCGTCAAGGCTAGCTCCGCACTCACCAAGAGTGGTGGTGGGGAGAAATGTGGCTTTCGCCGGAAACAGGTTGTGTTTCTTGCCGGCGAGGGGAACGCTAAACCTTGCCGGCGAGTCGTGCCGGAAGCTGGTTGTGGCGGTGCTACGGTTAATAGGTCGAGGAAAGGAGGGAGTAAAAGCGGCGGTGGTAGAGGAAAGTTTAAGGCAATGTTGAGTTCTATACCGGAATAGGGGTAGTTTTGGAAGGGAAGAAATTGAGCTCGCCGGTGATTTTGTATTGTTGTATATAGTTAAAGGAAAAAGAAAAATATATTGATTTTTTTAACTTTGTAAATACTTTGTTCATTAACAACAATGCAAGAGACCATATTAGAACCAGTCTTTTCATTTTATTTTTCCTTTAATATCTTGGGTGCCTTGTCTTCTATTATTTTATTCATATCTTTTATTTTTAAAGTAATATACAAAAATTTAAAAAATAATTGATATATAATTTTATTATATTTTAATTAAATAGTTTTGTTATATATTTTCAATTTCTTTCGTTTTCTTTAACTTCCCACAAAGTTACACTAATAATTTCACGCTTGATAAGCATTGAAGCTCATGAAAATTCTAAAGGATGAGAAGTATATAGATATAGCCTTTTTTTTATATGGAAAAAAATAAAAAAATTATCAATGATATTTTGTGAAAAATTACAAAAATATGGGAATTTTTTTAAAATCTCACATTTTTTTACTTTAATTTTTTTTATTTTAAAAAAATTACCAATATTATATTTTTATAATTTCTTCAGAAACACCTTATTTTAGTATATATAAATTTAAAATTTTATATATATAAAAAATAAACCTCTAAATTAAAGGTGATGAATAAAAGAAAATTTTATTAGTTAATTAAATTAAATATTTTTCATTTTTTTAATTTTTATTTAAATGTTAAAAAAGAAAAATGTTATACAAGTTAAAAAATTTAAGTATTTTGTTAATTTTTTTTGTATATATCTTAATTTTTTACAATGAATTCTTTTTTTCTTTGGGCTACGTAACTATGTTAATGCTTTATATTAAAAAAAGTAGAAGTTAGTATAATCTTAATTATATATATATATATATATAATATTAAATAAAATTATAATTAATAAAATTTTTATAAATCAACAAAAATTTTAAAACATATTAATAATAATAATATTTTATTGAAAATATTTTTATTTTTTTAACATATATACATATGTAATTAATATATTTATTTGCATCAAACTTATTGTGACTTTTTTTTATATGGAAATAAAATTACTTAAAATATGAGATTTGAAAAAATTTATAAAAATATGAAAAAAATTTAGATTTCTTAACTGACAATTTTTATACTATTTGTTTTAATTGTATGACTTTTTTATATTTTTAATTATTATTTGAAAAATTAAAATAATTTTTTTTTGAATTTTAAAATTTTTTAATATTGTTCTGAAAATTACTATTAATGATTTTTTATACTTTAGAATTTTTATCTGTTCAATTTTTGAACATAAAAAATTATCATTATCAATTTTGAATTCTATATTTTTCTATTTTTTAAATATTATATATAAAAAATGTTAACTTGCTTTGGGGAAACAACTTATTGTTAAGTTGTTAATATAAATTTTATTATTATTTTATTTACAATAAACAAGTAAAATAGTTAATCAAACAAGAACAAGAAAATAATAATAAAAATAACAATAATAATTTTCAAATATATAAATAATATATTATTTCTTAAAAGTAGCTAAATTAAAAAAGAAATAAAAAAATTTCAATTAAAAAAGTTACAAAATCTTACATGATAAAAAAGGCAACTCAGTTACTGTATTATCGTTTTCTTTTCTGTAGGCTCAAGCCAAATGAAATTTCTGATTCAAAAATAATTGATACAAGTCTTTGAATATATATATATATATATATATATATATATAATATTTTATTAATTATTAACTAAAAATTATTATAAATTATGTATGTTTAACTTTTTATTGAATAAATCTTATTTGATTTTATAATTTTAATAAGTTTTAACTTATTGTAAAAAATACATTTAAAACAATCCGCTGTTTACACTAATTTTATTTTTTTTGCACAAAACTTGTTTGAAATTGATTGATTCGTTTTTCACTTAAGGCTAAGAAGAGGGCTATGCAAATTCTTTTAGTTTTATTCCAAGAAAATTGTCATATTGAGGTAGTTGTCTTTTATTTGTTCTTCAAGAGGAATTTTAGAATCTTCAAAGCGTGATAATTATCCTTGTGTACAAGAATTGTTTGAAGGCAAGTGGTGTCCCGCTCCGGGGATAGCGATTGATCGGTACATGTTGAAATTAAGAAGATTTAGTCATTGAAAGGAAATAATAAAAATAGAAATTTAACATTTTAAAATTAGTATTTATAATTTAATATGTGTAAGATAGTTTACATAGGTTAAGAATGGTTGAAATATTTTTTCTTTTATAAACTAATTTTTAAGAATAAGTTAAACACAATTTTTTTAATATGATATTATTAGGTACAAACATGATGCAACATATGTTTAATATCCTAAACATAGGGATGTGTTAAGTTAGCTTTTAATATAATATAAATGATAAAATATTATATTTATATTTATATTTATAATTTTCTGTCAAACCTAAATAAATAAATCAAAACATATAATAAAATATAAATATAAAAAGTTATCCTAAAAAAGTGACGGTGACATTGCAAATCTTACAAAAGAAGTGCTGCTACTGAGAGCTCTCGACCGCACAAGTGCTATTACTTTTGCCATTAGGTATGTAATTCGGATCTCGATAAAACAAATGTCCTCAAAGAGCACATCTGCGGTCGGGCGTTTCATACAGCATCCTCCGATTCTATAAAATATAATCACTTCCTTTCATCTACATAATTAAAAATGGGATCGCAATATTTAGTTAGTACCTTAATTTGTCCCCACTGGTTCGGTATGATGTAAACAATGGATAAACCGTACACGTTAAATGTAGCTTGAAATTAGCAACATCATTAACAGGAACCAAGAATGAATGTGGCCAAATTGATATTTCAAAAAAATAAACACGGAAGGGATTATAACTGGGTCGATTACACGTAGGAGATAATTAAACAAAGTGAAACCTATATATCTAAATTGAATAGGTTGATGAATGGAAGCGTATCCTCAGGCATTTGTCAATGGTACAACTGCCAAAGCGTTGTGACAGGGAAATCTGCACAGCAGAAGCTCTTTCCTTGTTTTGGACTTTAGTTTCATCCCCAAGACATGCATGAGTTAGTTGAGTGACACTAGTGTATTCGGTGACAAAAAGTGAAAGAGAGCTGTAGCAAATAATAATCTAGTTGGGCGTGTGATATGGACTGGATGTAGAGACCAAAAGGTTAAGTTGAAGGTGAAGATTGGCATGGTGAAGTAGAGGACGAAAATGAAAGAGAGTGATAGGAGGACGTAACGCGCACAATTTGGCATATACCATCTCATTAGACGCAACAAAACCAGTCAGAATGCGCAGGGTGGTTCTAATGTTGAGGTTAGATCGGGTTGCTGTCCGCGACCAATTTTTTATTAAAGATGTCACAAGTAACAACTCATGGAAAATCCGGTTTAATATACTTTTTAGAGTTAATTCATAAAAATAAAATAAAATTTTATGAAAAATATTTTATCACTCTCTCTGCACTCCAAAGTTGATATATAGTGTGCAATTTGTAGTGCTAAATATTTTAGGTGATTCTATTTAAATTAAATACACTCGTATATCACTTTTAAAAGTTAGATTATAAAAAGAATTATTTATTTAAAAGAAAATATATTATATTTGAAGGATTAAAATGCAGTGGCTTTAGGAGAAATCAATTCCCGTTATCGATAAAGATAATCATATAATAAACATTTTCCTCACTGATTAAACGAAGGGTAGAATTTGCAGCAGCAAGCTGCACGAACTGATTTTGTTTTTGGCATATGAATGTGCGCGTAGGCAGGCAAGTGGCAAAACAATCCAAATGACCATGCCTCTTAGATTAGAAGGTGTTAGTTGCTCAGCACGAATTTGTAGGTACTTGTTGTAGCGTGTTGATGACATGACAATGACATATGTGACCACTCGTTATGTACTGTACTTTTTGACCCGATTTGAAGCTGTTTTCGCCTGCCATTTTCCCTTCAGCCATTTAGTTGAGGAGCGATTGATAGCGTGGTAGAGTGAAAATGAATACTAAGTGTAAAATTAATTTAAGAAAACAATAACATTAGCTTTCTTATTCGTACGACGCGTTTGGTGCAAGGGTAATGCCCGGCGTTGTGAACCAAGTCTATGGATGACTGATGACGCGGCTTTCCAAATTTACCAAGTTTTCTGAAAGATAAATTGTAGTTAATTAAGCACAAAAAATGTCTTTTAAAACATTCCTTTCATGCAATACGACGACTCAAAATTTTATAGTCCATTTTGCATATGAAATTCTATAATTTAAGCCATGAGAACAGTCAACCAGACTACTCAGCGAAATCAAGGTATCACCCTCCACTGATGCCAAAGCTGATAGATTAATATATGATGCTATTACCAAAGAAAATAAAAAACCTAGTATGAACATCTAAGGTCAAACTTTCCACAATGTGTGTGATCGATGTGTAAGTTACACCATTTGATTAAAAAACTTGCACATGCAAAGTTTAAAAAAAGAAAAAGAAAAAGCGATATGATAATTGACTTCAACGAAGGAAAGCCGATCAATGAAAATTCTATATAGACACGCACTATCGCATGTCTTTCTCCCTGTCAACGAACTAATTATTTCAAGTTCAACACGATACATAAGAAGATTGGACCTTTCAGCATAGAAAGGAAACATGATATGAATGTTTGTGTATAACCCGTTGTGGATTTTATCGTTCATTATGAAGGAAAGCCAGCTGGAGGAATCCGATGCTGCTGTCTGATACAAAAGCCTTGCATCATCCAGTTAGTGCTCGCTTGGTTTAACATTGTGGATCTTCAAAAGTGTGTTTGCTAAACTTTTGTACTATTTTGAATGGGGATAAAATGCTTGTTCCGTTAAAATGTAAATCAATTTCCTTTGTAGCAAAAATTTCGATTACATAAATTACTTTTAATTTTGTATGATTATATAAATTGTAAAGAATCAAAGTAATGTTTAAAAGAAAATTATGTTAAATGAAATTTTATAA